AAAGCCAAGATGAACTCAATGAATACCAATAGAGTCTGGACTCTGGTAGACACGCCCCTTTGGGTGAAAGCAATCAGTTAAAAGTGGATCTACAAGAGGAAGAAGGGCCCTGATGAAAAGATCATGACCTATAAAGCTCGACTTGTGGTGAATGGTAACATTCAGAAAGAAGGAGTCATCTATGAGGAAACCTTTTTGTTCGTGGCCATGCTTAAATCCATTAGGCTACTATTGTCGATAGCCGCAAACTACGATTATAAAAATCTGGCAAATGGATGCCAAAACAACATTTCTAAATGGAGATCTTACTGAAGATATCTATATGCAACAACCAAAAGGCTTTGTTGGCAAGGGTCAGGAACACATGGTGTGTAAGCTCAACTATCTATATACGGATTAAAGAAATATTCCAAAAGTTGGAATATCTATTTGACTCTAGAGAGTCAAATAGTTGGATTTTGAGCAAAATCTGGATGAACCTTATGTTTATAGAAATACAATAGGAAACAAGGTTGCATTCTTAGTTCTATATGTAGACAACAATCTACTCATTGGGAATGATGCAAGAATGTTAACAATGGTGAAGCTATGGGTTTCAAAACAATTCTCCATGAAAGATCTTGGAGAAATTTTTTATATCTTTGCACTTTGACTCTATAAAGATAGATCAAAGAGGTTAATTGGATTGTCTCAATTTACTTATATTGACAAGATTGTCAAAAGATTCAACATGTAGGATTCCAAGAAGGGATTCATTCCTTTCATACATGGAGTCACTCGTTCCAAAGGACTGTCACCTAAGACCCCTGAGGAGATAGAGGACATGAGAAATGATCCCTATGCCTCTTCCATAGGGAGCATCATGTATGCTATGTTGTGCACTTGACCTGACGTTTCTCAGGTTATTAATGTTGTTAGTAGATATAAATCCAACCCAGGCAAGAACACTACACAACTATGAAGAACATACTAAAATACCTACGAAAAACGAAGAACTAAAGATTATTGTCTTGTCTTCAATAGTAGTTCACTACAGATTATTAGTTATACAAATGTTGACTTCTAGTTTAACCCAGATGGTAAAAAGTCTACATCTAGATAAATCTTTATGTTGGGATCCTGTGCATTTAATTGGAGAAACAACAAACAAGGGTCTACAACAAACTCCACAACTGAAGCCAAGTACATTGCCACAAATGAAGCTTCTAAGGAAGAAGTATGGATGAAGAAATGCATCTAAAAATTAGGAGTCACACCATCTAGCACATCATCTATTCCACCGTTGTGTAACAACACTGGAGTCTTTGCTCAAGCTAAGGATCTAAAAGCCCACTCGAAGTCAAAGCACATCGAGAGGAAGTGTCATATACTATAAGAGATTGTTAGTAGATGAAGCATCCAGATTCAAAAGGTAGCATCAGCGAAAAATGTGGTAGACCCATTAACTAAGCCAATGACATAGAAAGTGTTTGAAGGACACGTGAATAGAATGGAATTAAGGCTATTACTTGATTAAACCTAAGTACAAGTGGAAGTTGTTAGATAGTGTGTGCCTTCAGCTCCAATCAAATTGATGCAGATAAACCATTATTAGTGAATGAATAAAGTACATTATTGCTTCATGTTTTAATTGGTATGTTTTTTGTGAATTACTCTTTAAATTAGACACTTATAAGACTTGTGTTAGTTTAGAATGTTCTTAGCCATTGGATAGACTTAGGGAGTTTATCTTGACAAAACTGACATTGGTATGATATCAAACTAGTGGAGTAGTTTGTCTAATCTACTAGGGTTAGACCCCAAGCATAGTGAATGAGTGTTTAGAAGAAACATTGAACCTAGACTAACTTCTATTTGTGCCCTGGACCTTGGAGATAGATGGGCAAAATTGAAAAATTGCACTTAACCTCAAACTTGATCATGATGCTGCATTGGGTTTTGGTAGGGGTGAGCATTATTTGGTTAAAACCGAATTACCGAATTGAAAATTTTGGTTTCGGTTTTTTGAGTTTGATTTTTGGGTAATTCGATTTTTAGCATTTTCGGTTTTCGGTTCCGGTTTTCAGATTTAGAAATTAGGTTAACCGAAACAACCAAATTAACTAAAACTCATTATATAATGTATAATATACAATATACAAAATACCATATTTAATATATAATATGCTATATATTTATATATTAATATATTATATATAATTATTATAATGAAATTAAATTTCATAATATGTTATAATATATATATTATAGGTTATAATATATAATATTATATATATATATATATATATTAAATTCGGCTTTTAACCGAAAATCGAACCAAAAATTTTGGTTTTATTGTAATTCGATTTCGGTTTCGGTTTTCTTTCTTTATTTTGGTTTTAAAAAATCGGTTTACTCGGTTTGGTTTTTAATTGAATAAATCGAATTCTCACCCTTAGGTATTGGACTAAGCTATCTTTGATATGCCAACCAATGGGATCCATCAAGGGTCAAATACCTAGGCATGTTCGGGAAGTTTGGGAAATTATCTAAGTGGATGATCATAGTGATAGGATTGACCCCTTCGTCAAATAAAGTGAATATCAGACTTTACACTCTTTGTGACAGAAACCTAAACCGTCAATAATGGATTTCAACTATCTTTGAAATCTGATTTGCAAAATATATTTATATGTTATATTACTATTTTATGAAAAGATTTACAAAATGTTTTAATCTCAGGATCCATCTAAGCAAAGAGTGTGACACTGCATTTTGTAGTCAGGGAAGAGGTCCTTCCTAGGGGTAGTGTTCTAATAATTAGGGGCCGAGAGGTAAAGTGTAAGATACCATTACAAGGCTTATTACATGATTGACTTTATCTTACATAAGTCCATTATCCTCGGATCTCCATAAGGTGTCTGAATCTAAGGATCATTTAGGTGCAAATGTTGGGCCCAAATTGAGCTTAATGTAATTGGTGAAGGGTTTATTACCTTGAGTAGTGAATTCGGCCTAACCGCTTTCAAAGGTAGGGCCTAACCCTTATGGACTTGTGTGAGACTTTTGTGGGTCCCACGCCATACAACATTCAAGCCCGAACTGACCATGCAATACCTTGGGACGTGACCCATTAGAAAAATGGGCCTAAGGTCCATTACTAATATGATTAGTTAAGTGATCATTGTCATGTGACTTGAATTGAAAATGGGCATGGATCTGAGTATGGATCACCTATCCTCTTAAGAGGATAATGCTTATCAATCAAAGATAGAGTATTGATCCAAATTTGGATCAGTTCTTAATTAGATTAGGAGAGTGATCTATATAAAGCAGAAAAAAGGGGAGAGTTCAATTGAACCAATTCTCTACACTCTCTTGCTCTCTTTTTTTCTCCCTTGTCTCTTAAAAACCCTAACTCAACCTAGCTTTGATAAGGACTGATTTTTATCAATCATCCATTGTGTTTTTGCAAGAAAAGCATCAAAGTACATCAAGTTCACATACCATCTTCGATCTAAGCAAGTTGGAGACCGAGTTTTGGTGAAATGGTGTTGATGAAAAGGCTTCACATACACACTACGCCATCTTTATCGGAAGGCCAATTTTAGAACTAATATTGGGCGTAAACTACTACTCTAGGAGCTACACACTATGGTCTCTATATTAGGTATGATAAGTTTTAATTTGAGTTTCAAATCTGGTTCGGTTCAATGCAATATCAATCCCAAAATTTCAAATTTCAAAATCACCAAAAAATTGATTCCCGAGTTGGGTTAAAAAATTTTGGAAATTCGGCTAGCCATTATTCCTGATTCGACCATTTCAAATCTGATTTCTAACCCTTTTAACACAATCTTAGTAATAATTGAATCATCGAGACTACAATACATATTCAATACAAATCCAAATTAGTTTAGGCAACTAACAGCCCTAAATGGAATGGAATCAAACTGATCCAACCTCTGTGAAGTACATCAAAGTCCTTAACAATTTAGCTCTTTATAGAACTTCAAGATAGGAGAAAATCATCCTCCCTAGATTGGCCATTCAATTACAATTCAACACATTTAAAGGACAACATGCAATAGATTCCATACAGCAAAACAACAATGTTGAAAGATTGATTAGTGGCGTGACAGATGAGTTGTTTTATAATAACAACTGTTAGGGATGCAAGTTGGCCAGGTCAGGCCAAGTTTATGGTCAACCCAAGCCCAACCCTAAGATTTAGGCCTAAGGCCCAAGCCCAATCCACATTGTAATTTGATGTACACAAGTTGGGCTCAAACCCAGACCGAGCTCAGGTTGGTTAATGAATCTATTCTAAAATTATACATGTATGTATGCATTTATGTAAATATGTATACATATATGAATGTATATAGTTAGGCCGGGTTCAAGCTGCCAAAGGACTAGGCCCGAACCCACCCCAAAAAATAAAAAAAAAAACCCAAATTCTTGGGCTTGAGCCCAGCCTAAGGAACAAAAATCCAAGCCCAGCCTTTATGAAATTACGGGGTGGATCAGTTCAGGCTTGGGTTGGGCCCGCCCAAGTTGCACCCCTACCAACTATGGACCTCCAAATTATTTTTTTGTTGTCCCTCCCAGCTTCAGCTTTCTAATTCATGGATCAATTGCCTTACGGATGGCCCTAAATGGAGCTTAGCCAATTTACATATGTTCCCCACAAAGGGCACCCCGCAGCATATTCCAACCGTGTATTGGGAACATCTCCCACTAACAACTTAGGGAGATGTTCCAATGCACGCTGAGATGTGCATGTGGGGCATTTGTGGGGTGCCCACTGAGGGATGTGATCTGGACATCCAAATTACACCTCTATGTTAAAATCCTTAAAAAAAGGTACAAACTATTTAACTCAAATAAATTTTGTCAAAAACCCTTCCAAGTTCCAATAAACCCTCCTTCAAGGGCTAAAGAATGTGAACCATTTTTTCAAATCTTCCGAGCAAAATTTCAATACACATTTGTGATGAATTTATAAATACCAGCTTCCCTAAAATAGTAAATGTTTAACTTTGATAAACTCAAAAGTCCCATCACCCTTCACATCTCATCAAAATGCTTGCTTGATAATAAATTATAAATATTCCATGTATCCCCACCAGAGGATGTATATACATAATTAGATGAAAAAGGCCCCTCCCTAACCACTTGGTGACTAGGTTGGATATGTTCACAATTGCAGACATGCAATATGGCTCAGATCCAATGGTTCAGTATTGCATAAATTTCATACAATAGATGTCTTTGGCCCAGCAGCATATTCCAAATGTCATCTTCTTGGTTTTGTTTCCGCTGCTTGGCTCTGTGGTGTTGTTTGAGCTCCAGCACCAAGAGCAACTGCAGCAGATTCTACATGTGTAAGGAGATAGTCATAGATCTTCTTCCTCAGCCTATCAATCGTCTCAGATGGAATGCAGGGTCCATCTTCTTCTTCATCCTTAGTAGATCCAATCTCCTCTAACCAGTCATTTACACTTTTGAGCTGAGACAACATACTTGCTATTTGACTATTATCTCTGAGGGCTGAATTATCCATATCAGCATCCAAGAACCTCTCGATGAAACCCAAGAACCAGTCCTGAGACTCCGTCTTTAATGTTTGTGCCAAATCAACAGCTTCATCAAGGCCGTTTCCTTGGATCCACTCAGGTGGTGGTGTAGTCTGTGTCTTGTGACCTACATTTAGCCCATCCCCAGCACGGCGGAGTGCTCCTGATGTAAGAAGTTTAGAACCAACTAATGGGCGAGTTTTGCTTTGAGCCTTTGTTGATGTATTCTTGGTTGAGTTCTCTAGGACTAGCATGGTATGGTTGCTAGCAGTAGTCCGTTGACTTTGAGCGGGAGTTGAAGTCGAGCTCAAGGTGGAAACTGGTTGTTTGTTAAATACTGTAAAGGATGATAAGTCAGTGGCTAATGCACTGTGGACCCATGAAGTTGCATGTTTACGCCTCTCCAATGAGATCTTCAGAGCTTCTTCTGATGGTTCATCTTCACCATCTGTTGATGACCCTACTGAGACTGTCTTTGATAGGGAATCAGCCACAAGACGAGCCCTGTTCAAGCTTGCATGGAGACTCAGGAACTGCTCAACTGTAGGTTGTGGGTTATCCTCCTTGGCAGATGTACTTAACTCAGCATATATGCTGCAAAAGAGAGAGAAAGATCAGATATCAAAGAAGTGAGTTCAAGGAGATAACAAAATATACCAGTATCTTACATGCAAAATCTATACCAGTCAAACCAGAAAATTTGCATGAGTTCAATGAATATGATCATCAAACTGAGAATCAAAGACTAAGAGAGTATCTATATCTTGCTGGTATAGGTTGCATTTCCAACCAGAGGATTATTATCCAGTTCATAGGCCAGCCATAATAGAAGGCTAGTTCATTTCCTGGACTTCATTCAACCTACAGCTTCTTAAATGGATTTTGGCTTCTCTTTCTCCAAGAACCTGAAGGCTAACTTCAACATCAATGGGCAAAAGAATTGAACATTACCACATTAAGTTGAAATCACTCCCTTGACTGGCCACTCTGCTTCCCAATTCCTATTGGAACCCTAAAGGTTCTACATTTTTAAAAGGGACATTTTTGGCCAAAAAGGGCATTCGATTGATGACTAAATGTTCCAACCTCTTAAAGTATATGAATCAGAAAGCACCAGAAAACTTTGCCAGCACATTTCTCGTCCATCACTACTTCAGAAAATTGAAAATTCAAAAGAAAGAAAAAAATAACAACCTCATAACTGAAGATGCCAAATCTAGCCTTCTAGGGATTAGGTTGTCAAGGTCACAGTTATCATAATCAAAACTTAAGCAATTGAGCTCACCCTAAAAACATGGACAGAGGTATTCTAAGGAAGCCAAAGAAGCACTTATTTAATGATGCAACCCTAATATTACAGTTCTGTATTAGATCTTTAATTCCACTCTCCCTTAAAAGAAACCAGGTTCTCCTTTTTGTCATCATCTCAATAGAGATGGATTGATCTAGGAAAGCCATTGAATTTGAATAATGATGAACTATAAAGAATTACCCATCAGTTCACTACAAAAGTTTTTCCACTAATACCTAGACATGGTATCAGATCTAAAGGACATGTTTGTCCATGTCTTGGCTATTCAAGTTTTCCTTTAACATTAATGATACAGTTGCCTACTACCCTTTATTGGAGATCCCATCAAATGCTACATATGAATACATCACATTAATATTCTTAAAATTTAGACTTAGCTAATGATTCTAAACAAGGTGTTTAATGTTAAAGGCTTATGTACTATTACGTATATCTTGGGAATAGAAGTAACTGAATAGAGGTGCCTCATTCCAAGTATGATATATTCATTTCCAGATAAAGTACACCATGGAACTTACAAGTTGGAAGAAAAGCCCATATTGAATCAAATCATACATAATAGAGATGTCTATGGATGATATTGATCTGCTTTATGATGTCATAATTTGTCATACTGTTTGGGACTAGATTATCTAACTGTCACTCATCTAGATATACTGCACAAACAGCAATTTCTGCTTCAACTAGACTTGGAATAGTGATCCTCAACAAAGCACAATATCTATACTATATATAAAAGTGTGAATGCAGTGCGAAACCTTTTTGGGACTAAAATTACCCTCTATTTCTTTGTTTGAGAAAGGGTATAAAAGTCATTTTATTATAGCTTTAATGGCTATTAAAATGGCCATATTTGTGTAATTAATCCATCTCTAATTGTAAGAGTTGAAAAATGTAACTTCAATTATTACTTTCCACCTCATCTAATCCCCTCTCATTAAGTCTTATACTCAAGCTAGTAAATCCCATTTCCTCTTATTAGATCTTATACCTTTAAGTTATTTTTCACTAACAAATGCTACTAATTAGATCTATGTGAATATCTTTAACAATATAAACCCATATATTTTAAAACTTACTCAAAAGCAAAACCATTCTTTATCCAAGTGGTGGCTAAGCAATTCAACCATCCGAATCAAATTAATCAATCTATGAAATCATCGTTAGGTAATAAAATTTTTAAAATAGAAATAAATATAGAAAATTACAAAAATGTAGGAAAAATTAGACACATTTATGATATTTTTATTAATCAAATTAAAAAATAAGTGTAGTAAACAAGAATTATTTTTATTGATAATGAAAATGAAATACATAATTTAGAATTGACCAAAAATGAAATACAAAATAACTTTTGGGTTAAATGTGTTAACCCTTAATGTCATAAATAAATAATAAAAATTAATAAAATATAAAAACACATAAATGAAAAAAAATACATAAATTTTGCAAAAAGAAACATTTAGGAACATGTATAATATCATGTATTTATCATAATAAACAAAAAGTAAGTGTGACATATCAAAATTATTTTTACACACAAAAATACAAAAACTTATAGAAAAATTGAACATATCCATAATTCTATAATTACACTACTATTAAAAATATGCATAAGATTGTGGAATTTTCTTTTGACTAAAATCAAGGTTTTAAAAGCTGACCCAAAAACGGAACCACTTTGGCTTTCAGTTTTTGGGTCAGCAGTTCAACCGTCTAGTTTGAGCGAGTCAAACCAGTAACATGTAAAATATAATCTGCCGTTAGATTAGGATTAGGTTAAAGTCCATATATATACATTATTATGAGAGGGGAGTGTGAGACTTTGAGAAGGAGGTAGCTGGTTAAAGCTGAGAAGTGAGAACAAAGAAAGAGAAGAAGAAGAAGAAGAAGAAGAAGGAAGTGCCACCGAAGGTGGTTGTCACCATGTACACTAATTGTTGTACCGTTTTCCTTGAGAAGAAGAAAAAGAATAAGAAGGAATCACCACCGACGGCTATCTCCATGTTCATCATCACTGCCACTACAACACTATCTGCCCTCTTCTTACATCTCTCTAAATCTCTCTCAAATCCCAGATCGTTTCCTTCATTGGTGTATATCAGATTTCTAATATAAGATCAGTGTTTAATCTCTCATCTCTTGCATAGATTTTTTTGATTTTTCGATTTCTTCATTGGAGTTGCATTTTTTTTGTTACAACTTAAAAAGAATCACATAAATGAGAAAACTTGAAATCAAAATGGAGAAACTAAAAACCCTAACTAATTTTAGCCATTGGGAATAACCGAACAAAATTATGAGATATGAAAGTTTATTTTTTCAATTTTTTTTATTTTCTAATTTCTATTTTAAAATAAATAAAAAATTTTAGAATTAGTTTGAAGCAACCTAAGAACTGTTAACCGAGTGAACATTTTAATGGTTAAACCATCTGGGTCAGTGGTTCCTTGGCCATTTCAACAATTTTTTGTAAAATAGCTGTTCAGGGCCAAAACAAAACCAATGCCCTAAGTGATTCTTGGGCCAAACGGTTTGGCCGTCCAATTTGGTCTATTTTTTAAAACAGTGACTAAAAGATTCATTTTTTAATTTAGTCCCTATTTATTTGTAAGGTTTAAATTGTAATTTAAACTACTACTTTTCACTTCATTCAATTACCTCTATTTATATCTTACACTTTTTGATAAATGAACAAAAGAAATAAGATAAAACACTACAAAAAGAAGAGTCTAGCCAAGCAAATAGGCTTGTCAATGATACTTGAAACTTCACAATTCGATCTAATTATCACATATTTGGATTGAGTTGTTTATGTAATCAGATTTGGATTTTGCAATCTTCATCTGGTTAATAATAAAAAAACAAAAATAAAAAATACATAGTTAATAGAAAACTTTGGATATATTATTACCATAATTATCATCATCTAAAATTGTCACGTGCAAAGCACGTGCATACTTACTAATAGCCTCTAAAAGAAAAGTCACTTCACTAAAAGAAGACTTGATTACACAAGTGTATATAGACTATGAAGTAGAAATTCTTCCTACGTCCTTTCGTTAAAACACCTAACCTATTTCTTCAAACTGGAATAGAAACTCTTTTAAAAACTACCTAACTTAAAATAAGCTCAATTAAACCTTACACTATTTAAATAACAACTTGACTTATTCAACTCTAACCAGGACTTCTTTGGACTAGGAATATATACACTTCAACTAGGACTATGATGTTGCTTTTTGGTTCATGCAAGTTTCAGATATTAATTAATAAATGGGTGTCAGCTAAAAGTTGGAGATTTCAAACAACAGAATGGCCTAGGTTTAAAAGGGGCATGAAAAACATAGTAACTTATAGTTAATCTTTCTCCTTACATATGTACATGGGAAGTGTTCTATCACTCTGTGCATCACTCTGTACTACCAAACCTTAGAGTACAAGTGCTAACACATACAAACACACACATATATAACAAACTTACATTGTATTATCTTTTATTTCAATGAGCTAGCCTTTTCTTTAGATTTATCCATTTGGAGTGCCAAAACTTTGTTGAAAAAAAATATTACCCTCTGTATTTAAATATTTTGCTTTAATATCTTGTCTTTAAGTCAAACTAGAGAAGAGCTCAACAACCCATCAACCTATAACCAATGCCTTATACCAACCATTTTGGGTCAAATAGATGAATCATCACATTCCACCACCCCACTCCATTTGTTATTAATCATCCCCTAGTTGATTTAGGGGCTCCAAGTTGGACCAAATCAGCCTTCCTCGATAATGCAGTCCTTAATATTTTCTGTACATTAAAAAGGTGAAAGATGACAGAAGAGAGGAAGACAAAAGAAACAAAAACAAGCAAAAAAGCAGAGTTTTGTCTGTGTGACCTTGCCCCCTTTCTTTCCAAATTTTATCTGAATGTAAAACATCAAAACTCCCCCTTGCCCACAAAATGCTACAACCAAAAAAAAACAAATATCATCACCTAAGTGTCTCTAAAATTTTGTGTTTTTTAGCTTCATTGTTTATCTATTATTTTCTTGACAGAAGTTATACTTAAATTCAACCTCTACCATGATGTGGGGAACAAAACAAAATTGCAGACCCCAAAAAAATTCTGGAACCATGCAAACATAACGCTGATCAATTAGGCTGGGACCAAATGCAAACAAAAAATTGATGCTCAACAGAAGTTATACTTAAATGTACAAAGTTTAGGCTCAACAGAACAGAGCCAAAGACCAAAAAAACCACTATTCTAAGGAAAATGGCTGGGACAAACCCACAAAAAGCCCACTGAACCAAAAACAAACCTCATAAAACAAAAACCAAAAACACCCAAGAAAAGGCCCGGGCCAACATCCACAGTCACCTCCCAAAAACATTGGTTACCAAACTTCACAATCCACTCAACAACCCTTAAATCAAGAGGTTCCTTCCCCTGCCTCCTCTCCCCCTTCCTCAAGTGCTACCAGCACTTTATGAGATTTCACTAGCGCATCATCAACGAAGTCAGCCAACTTTTTCCACTTTTTGATAATCTGGGAGACGATCCAAACTGTCAAAAGACCACTCTGGTTCATCACAACTCGTGGAATCTTAATCCACCCCCTGTCCCAACTGATTCTTCAAAGACTTTGCACATTCTTCTTGGTCCATCAGTTCTCTAGATCTTAGCCACTCTCTCATATTATCTTCCCCAACCTCATCCAAAATTCCACACGGTCAATGGAGCTGCTATCATTGCACCCATTCCCATTAAGAGATGATCAACAAGTTTTTTTTTTTTTTTTTTGAGAAAAAGTTAACTTTAATCAACAAGTTATCATCCAATCCTTGTATTAATGTTTGAGATCAGCTACATAATATTGCTATTTGTCACCTTATTCTGATTGGCATGCATTATCTATTGACCAGTGTTGCATGTTCATAGATATAGGAGTCAGAATCTGATGTGTGTTCAAGAGTCTGACTTGGCAAGATGAAAAAACACGGACATGCAGGCATGGCCATGGAAAAGTATAAACTATTAAAATAGATCATATATTTTTCAATTCCAACATTATATACCAGAAAAAAGGGGGTCTATTATGTTGCCTATGTTACCAAGAAACACTTAATATGAAAAATGGCACTCATCTTGTACATTAGCCCAACACAGACATGACATCCATTTAGGAGAGTCCATGAAGCATTGTTATTTACATATGCAACCTCAAATCACCAGAAACAGATGAGAAATAGATTGGATTGAGAAAAAAGGAATTATAGCCTGATAATAAAGCACTCTTAATGTGTTATCAGTTCCATCCCAGCTGCATGAGTTGGGGCAGGATTGAGTGGCTACTATTCCATAATGGGCCCTAGTTATCCTATGGAACTGTGAGGGTTGAGAAGTGAGCTAAGTCCCTGTCGAATCCCCACCACAAGGGAGAGATTTAGGAAATTCCCCAGTTATCCTATGGGTGTAGTGTGTGGAAAGGCATTTCAAAAGATTTCAGTACCTTCTGCAAAGGATTAAATTTCAAGTTGGGAGATGATAGGAAGGTGTGGTTTTGGTTGGTGTGGTGAAATGGCATTAAATTTAAAAGACAGGTTTCTGACCTTGTTTAGTATGGATGAAAACAAATTGGCTTGGGTGGTTGAGTCCTAGGAGGTGACTGGAAACATAATCATTTGGAATCCTTCATTTAGAAGGGGTTTCAATGACTGAGAGCTCAATATGGTGGCCGATCTCTTAACTTTACCACAAAACCAGCAATTAAACTTGCACTCTCAAGACTCAAGATGTTAGAAGTGGACACCTTCAGGGGATTTTTCAGTTAAATCCTTTTACAAAGGTCTAGTAGGAGACCCAATGGATCATTTCCCTAGCTCGGCCATTTGGGGATCCGCTGCACCTTCAAAAGTGAAATTTTCACTTGGGTGGCAACTCTGGAGAAGTGCTTGACTAAACAATAGAAAGAGGTCCGATGATGTATTTTCTTTGTTTATTATATAATATTGATTGATAAGATTAAAGATGGTAAAATGTAGAGCTAAAACAATGGAAAGATGTTTTAGAATCAAAAGGTTTAAAGATAAATTGGATTAAGACAAAATACATGTGTATTGCAATTTTAGTAAAAACAGCAGTAACAATGGTGGTGCAATTAAGATTGATGATCAGGAGATAGAGCTACATGGCTTAAAAGAATCCAAGGCGGGAAAAAAACTTTTTCCAGAATCCTATGTTGTCCACAAGTACAACATCAACCACGACTAGAAGAAAATTATCTGAATAAACACCAAAGCCATGGTGAAAAACTCATACAACTGCCCTGTGCTTCTTTCCATCAGGATCTTTTAGGCCAATCAGATTGCAATTTATGATTAATCATTTAATCCTGCAAGGTTTATACTATTGATATAGCGCTATGGCTTGGTTCAATTGTAGAATGTCAGGCTAACAAGCATGAGTATTCAGGTTTGAGTCTGAGAATGGCCACCTTGTGCAAAAATTTAAATAATAATAATAATAATAAATCTAAAGGTTAGGTAATGACCCTTTACATACATAGCTTCATGCATGATGCCTCTGAAGTTTCTCCTCAAGTTTCAGTCAATATTAACATTGAATTATCCTACCAGAGGCCCCATCTAGTATTTAGTATTTACAAATATACGTGCAATACAAGCAACTCCTTTAATTTGACCAGAGAACAATCACATCTGTGCTGATTTTAACTTTGTCAGTGATCCACAAGAATTTAATGTTACAATTTTGTTAAGTCAAGAACAGGGTATAGCACAAAGGTGACAGTTGCTTGCCCCTTTCCAAAGACAAAATGAAGTAAAGAAATGCGAAGGGAGAAATGAAATAATTATAATAAAAACAACCACACTTCATCATCCAAAGACTCAAAATATGACAGAAATTATCAACTAAACAAGATTGCAGAACTGAAAGGTGGAAAAAATACTGAATGCTCATCAAGAAATTACAAATTAGTATAAACTGGACAAAAAGTTTGGCTAAATATCCAAGATCATTAAGTACTGAACAGTTACCAGGAAGCATAAGTTCTGTAGAATTAGCCTGGTACTTACCTCAAGCATCTAATTAAGCTTTCTGCAGCAGAAGCTTCTTGCATGGCCTCAATAGCTGCCATTTGTGCAGCATCTCTGTACTTCAGAACTTCCTGAAAAAATAAAATGAAAAATGAAAAAGCAGAATTTTGAAAAAAGAAAGGAAAGTTCAGGATCCTAGTCTTGTCAGAACCATGTGAAAATTTTCTAGAAATGTAATGCACCAGTAAATGCTATGGTTAAACCTTAGTCATCAAATAATAAATTGTCCATCAATCCAGACAGACCAACCAGAATATCCATATCAAGAAAGAGGACACATGTCCAAATTAACACAAATCATTGATTTTTGATCATCCAATGAAAAAAAATCTGAAGTTCATTAACCAATTTCAAATCAAGCTACTAGTCTACTACTCCACTGATATTATAACTAAAAAGGCCAACCCAATGTCGTCCCCAGCTACTGATAAGGTGTCACCTATATGAATGGTTTTGTTTTCTAAAACAAAAACAACTGCTATGTCAGCAAAAGGAATACATTTTTGCTAATGTGGCAGTTGTCTTTCTTTTAGAAAACAAAACCACTCACATTGATGAACACCCCCTGAATTTATGAATTCAAAGGGTACATACCATACTCAAAAATAAGACAGTCAAGATATAAGATACATCAATTGATTGAGTAGCTAAAAGCAATAGCTGACCATGCCACTTGGGTAAGTGGCATGAGTTTCATGCAGGACCTCATCCATGAAAGGTAAAAGCTTTAAAAACAAATAATGAAGCTTATAAGCAAAGATGATAACAAATTTTTGGCAGAGACAACACAAGAAAATGTTGCAGGGATTAATACCTTTCCAAGCTTTGCAAGAGAAGAAGGAAGTGAGGCCCAAGAAACACTACCATCTGTCAGTCTTCTATTATTGAGAGAAACCTTGACCAAGTTTCCTGGGAATCCATTACTGGAAACTTCACCTGATGTTTTCTTTCCAATAGAAGCGCGTTGCTTATTTGACTTATCAGGATCACCTATAGTCCCATTTGCTGTTATTTTCTTTGCAAGCGTCTGAACCTTATTGTCCTCTTTAGACAACAATTTATCACTTGTTGATGATTTTATTCGAGGAATCTGTTATGCAAAAAGAATTAAGACTGTTAGAAGATAACCAAATATAATCTGCTCACTGGGCCAAAAATATATAAAAAAATAGAATAACAACCTTCTCTGTTTTTTTTTTTTTTTGATAAAACCAGGTCCAGGAGGGGCTACACAAGACAGGGGGGTAGCACGTCCCCACATATCACTAGAACAAATAAAAGCTAAAGGCCAGACTAACAACCTTCTCTTCAAAAGAAAGGAGGAAAATAAACAATTGGAAAGAAGATAGATATCCAACAAAGAACTTTTATAAAGGAATTCACATATGGTTTTCAGAAAATTCACAAAAAGATGAGAGATCAAGAAGTAAAAATTCATTAATATGATCCTTGACTGCAGGGTTTAACTCTCCACCTACAGTCAGCATAGCTTTTCTTTCAAGTATGGTTTTATTTGAGGAGTCTGTTACACAAAAAGAATTAAATAGAAGATAACCAAATATAATTTGCTCACTGGATCAACAAAATGTAAAAAATAAAATAACAACCTTCTCTTCAAAAGAAAGGAGGAAAACAACAAACTGAAAGAAGTTAGATATCCAACAAAGAACATCTACTAAAGAATTCACATATGGTTTATCAGAAAATTCACAAAAAGATAAGAGAAGAAGAAGAAAAATTTTGTTAGTATGATCCTTGACTGCAGGGTTTAACTCTCCAGATATAGTCGGCATAACTTTTATTTTAAGTAGAAAATCCACATAACATTTCATCTCCACAAATCCCAGTGGATGAACAAAACATTGGGAAAATATAAGCAAACAAAGACAACGGAAATCAATATAACACCCATGACAGTTAATGGGGACAAAAAAATTTGTGCCTTAATTAAGCATAAATTTAAAAAAAAGAAAAAAAAGCAAAGTACAAAATTTTCATATAGAACAGAAGTATAATAACCAGAGAAAGCAGCACACCAACAGCTCAAGGAAAAGTTGTTTCAGACCAAGAATGCAAAAGAAAAGAAACAAACTTCAGAGAGAAAATAGAACTTACAGAAGTGCTCCGAGGTTCAGATTTCAAATCATGCTTGGCAGTCTTTGAGCTTGAATTCTCCCTACTTTTCACCTCCACACTCCCTTCCCAGCTCCTTCTCAAAGCCCTGGTTCCCACTCCAATACCCTGAACCAGATTACCAATGGAATTCTCCACAGGCAACTTCTTCGTTGATGTACTTGCTCTAAGAACAGAAGCTGCCTTGTCCGCCAATCCCAATCCCGTAGTTGGTTTATCCAATCCTTTGATCTTTGCTTGCTTCCTGACCCCATTTGCAAACTTCTCAAATGAAGTAGGCAATGAGTAGCAACTCGTTGGAGATGAAGGGATTGACCGCGAATTGGAAGATTTCGAAGGTGTCACAGAATCCTTCTTCTCAACTAAATTCAAAGCAGGCCTTAATAACAGAGACCTTGATCTATTGAAAGTTGCGGTCTTCTTGTCCGACTCTGCAACCTTTGCAGCTCCATGTTGTTTCTCCGACTTGATCTTGTCTTTCTCCCGACTTGTGTTATTGTTCAAGGTCTGAGAAAGTGTTTTGCATTTCTCTTTATCCAGAACTTGGTTGTTGTTCGAGACCTTGGATTGTGTCTTGATTTTCTCTAATGGATTTGATCCCGAAGAATTGAGGAAGCAGAGTGAGTGTTTTGCAACAAGATCCTCAGGGTTTCCAATGCAGGCATGGCGACCAGGTACAGGCCTCACTCCACGGAGGATTGGAACAGGGGAAGCAGCCTCAAGCCGCTCAACATGGATGAACTGACCCAGTTGAAGTTTATCACTGAGGATGAGATCGTCGTGCTCGTCAGGGAGGGAGACATAGGTGGCATGAGAGGAGTCTGAGACCTTGAGGTAGAATCCTTGGTTTGGGAAGAGCTCTCCACCTGCAAGTGCAGGGACAATGCTTACAACCTGCAGCAATGAAGACCGGTGCTCACCAGCAACTTTCACATCTGTATTCATATGTTGTAGAAGCTTCAGGAGGACACCAGGGACCAATGTCGCCATTATCTAGACCTCCAAAACGCATTACTCTGCAAACCCAGTAGGAGAAATTCAATCTATTGGACCGATTTCAGGTGAAAGGATCCAAATTTTTGCCTTTTGATCGATAACTCTGTTGGTGGGAGCCCCCACACACTGAAATAATGAATACCTTGTAAACCCAAGTATGAAGGTTTGACTTTTTTGGGACCTGATTAATGGAATTCTCAGAACTCGGATCTTGCAGAGGAGATTCAAAGCAAAAACTTATTCTCAGTACCCATCCAAAAGTTCATGCTTTTGAATCTTGACAGGTTGCACATAAGAAGGCACCACACTCCAAATTCAAATGGTGAAAACTATATCCCAGTGCCTTTCTTTCTGGATTACAGAGAGAGACAAATATATTTTCAATCAAAAAACCGAGATAGAAAAGCTCGGACACTTGACTTATTTCTAAACAATGATTAGAACTAGGTGATCCCCTAAACAACCCGATCGAAAAAGTTGTAACTTTCGAGCATTTAAGGATTATACAGATTGGAAAAGCGACATATACCCGCCAAACCCAGATCGAAAATACAAGTTTTTGGACTTTGATATGGATTCAGATAGAGGAAACACACTGCTCTGAAGTATCCAAACGGAAAAGCTCCTCTTTCCGGATTTTTTTTATGGGTTACAGCTAACACGCTTCTTCCGTAACCGTAAGACAGAAATGAGATAGTAAGATTTTTCTTTTGTTATGGCTTGGATCACAAGAGTAACCCTGAATCATAAACAGAGAAAACGCATTAGTCTCCAAAACCCAGATGGGAAAAGACAGCTTTTTTTCGGATTTTTGGAGGATAAGACCCTCGAGTGGTCTCTGAACATGAGAGATGATGAAGTGGCAGAGAAGTGAGAAGAGAAAAGACGAACTATAATTGCTGTAAGACTTATTATTGCATGATTGATTGATACAGAACAAGAGATGTAACAGAATCTAATACAAACCCACACACCCAAATGGAATCTCTCTCCCCCTCCCTCTCCCTCTCGCTGGTTTTTTAAAGGAAATATAGAAGAAGAGTTTAGGAGCAATCAGCCAACAAAATACCTTACCGATTAGTCGATTACAGGAAGAGTTGAGAATGTCTTTACAGTGAATAATCTGTGTTTTAGAGCTGTTAGGTTTCTGTTACCTTGTTTTTTAATGTAAATTTTTTAAAAACAATTCTTCATACGGTGGAGATTTTTTTTCATTTTTTATTATTTAATTGCATCTGGAGGGTGATGGCCGATGGGGTGTCGGCTACCTGAAGTGGTTCTAGACTCCACTGCCCGGAAGTAAGATCCCAGTGACCAGACTCAGATTCCGGCAGTCTTTATGTGGTTGATCTCGTAGAGCATTACAAGCAAAGATGTATTTGAAAATGACGTCTGAGAAAAGCATTTTTTTTTGAGTTATTTCCTTTTTCAAGTTTATCCCATGTTGTCGGTGCTATTATTATCTATCATACATTCAATCTTAGAGCAATTGGTATAGATTCAGAGAAATTGATTCCAATCGAATGGTCCTAAATACTCAAAAAACATTGACTTAAATATCAAAATATTTCTCACGTGCTCAAATTTTAGGTTATGCTTTTAATTAGAGCTGAATTCGGGAACACAAAAGCCATTGATTTAATGGGTCGGATCCACCCGAAAGAATCGAAGTGGCTAAAATGCTAAACCTATCATTCTGCTTGTGATTCTGTAGCTTGTGTCTCGATTAATAATCGAGTCGGTGCCCTGCTCCAAATCGGTTAAGATCCGAACCGATTACATAATTAATAGACTACTAAGGTTTCATGGCTTTTTAATTTTAGTTATATTTTATGTGTAAAAGGATAAATTTTATAGACAGTATCTACATAAATATTTACTATTTTGTTATCATTTTTATTAAACTCCTAGTTGTTATTAATTAGAGATGTCAAATATAGTTGGGTCCAATTTGGGTCAGACCCGATTTTCCGATTAATAGTTGGGTTGATTTTGGATTTACTTAGACTGATCCATTATCCCAAACCAGATCCGACCCATTGCCAGCTCAAAAAAACACATAGGGATGGAAGCGGATTGGATCAGATTGAAATTATAATGCAAACATTGCTTCGAAAGCCGAATCTGTTAAGGATGTTGGATATTTAAGTGTAATATGATCCGATTTAACTTTTAAAAATTTTAATAAATTATTAAAAGGAACATAAAATAACAAATACTTTTCATCATATATATATATATATATTTCTTGATAAAAAATAAATAGTATAAAACATTACAAAAATGAAAGAAAAAGATATTTATAAATAAATAGATAACATAGATATCTGATCCTTTCACATTGGATAAGAGTGATCCAAATTCGTTAATCAATCCTATTGTTCAGTCCGATCTGATCCAAAAATCCAAAAAGGGGAATATCTAAATCCAACAAAAACAAGATACCATCCATTTACACACCTAGAAAAATATAAGCAAAACAGAATTCTATGAAATTCAAGGACACTCCTACAGATTCCAAAATACCTCAGCTCAAACTTTGCTAAGAATTTGGTTAAAGGAATAGAACCAAAATCCAGTTCCACTTCCCCCTCACATTCCTAGAATTCAAATGACTATGACCCCCCAGTAATGTCAAATGCAAATCCACAAAAAGATCATCCACTTGAAGCTTAGTTGTGGAATTGAATCTTCTCAATTCCGCCTTCATCCAAACACAGCGTTGGGGTCAAGAGGTTGGATTGACCACGTGCTCCACATTGATAAAGTGCCCTTCACAATATCATGTCACCCCGGATTTCGGTACTGCTGGACAGAGAAAAATGATTCCAATCCAAGCAAAACAAGAATCACTTTCTGATCAAAACTTGCTTGGATTAGAGGAGATAAAGCTAGAACTTTAGCCTTCAGTCCTTCAAATTCCAATCATTCAGCTGCAGATACATTGAAATCATAAGCCTTCAAAAAGTGGGAAAGTTGGATGAGACAAGGGGTCTTTCATCAAAGGGAAGTTATAGCCAAGAAGTACGGATAGGCCCATTGTATAATTCTGATTTCCATTATAGATCTATAATATTTTAAAAGGTCAATTTTTTACTCCAACTCATGAACTTTGTGCCTATGACATTCTGACCCTGAATCATCATTTTCCCAAGTTATAATGGCTGTCACTCAGACACTGACACTCCTGACAGTCCACGATTTTGCTTAAAACAATTGGGAAGCATCGTCTGATCATCTCAAGATTAATGAACCAACGACCCAGGTAGATGATGTAGTTTGCCACTGTAGGCTGCGATGCTTGGTAAGTCAATTAGGAAGAAGCAAGAGAAAACAAAGTGTAGGAGCAAAGCTTGACAAAAGTCATTTCATGGTGACAGTGGGATTGTAGTTTCAACTTGCAAAGAAGAAGTTGGAGAAGATTCGGAATGTCGTTGGCTGCACTAAAGTCAAATAAGGCTTCTGCTAGGACCAATATTAATGGGTCGGTATATTAACACCAACAGGTTAGATTTGGATTGGTGGTGTTTGACATTGATGCCATTTTATGAAAAGCGACACTATATCGGTGCTATGTCAGAAAATAGTGGTGTTTCAGAAAACGGTCTCTTATTTGGTATTATTTTTTTAGAAAAAAAATATTGTTCCATATTGTTTCAGAAATCAAGTGTGGTTTAAAGAAACGTTAAATTCAATGTTTTCTCAAAAAATATTATGTTGCTGTCAGTGGTGCAATGATGTGGCATCATCTTGGGCATTGGATAATGTAGACCATTGCTGAAAACAGTTATACAACACTGGTACAAAAAAAAAAATCAGTGTTGTTTTCCCAGAAAATAGCATATGTGGTAGCATCGATGCCAAACAAAAAAAAGGAATCGTTTTCTGAGAAAATGGTGCAAGAGACCTTCATGCATACAGCACCATTTTCTCAGAAAACATCTCCCAAGCAATGGCATCAAATGCCATGACCTACTTAGGTTTTAATACCATCAGTTAGGGTCTTACTATGCAAGTCAAGTTCCATTTTAGGGTTGTACAATACATCTAATTTATACCCGTCTTACCTAAGAGTGTAAAAAAGGAATATAGGCTGGGTATGGAAAAGGTAAAAATGCAAATATGTATTGTGCAAATACATACAAAATAATGCAAAATATAAGGTTTTGCACTTGTGTTCCTTCCAAACTGAACCATAGTGAATTATTGGCAAGAAATAATATATATATATATATATATATATATATATATATATTATATATTAAATGAAGGTCTTTAGGTTAGAGTCATTCCCTTTAAGACATGTGGCATTCTATTAATTCAATAAATAGATTCAAAAAGTGAGTAGTTTCACTCTTAAACATTCTCGATGGATAAATATTTATTATCTTAACACATATTTATCCATAGTCAATTAAATGCAAATGGTGGGACCCATTAAAAGATTACCACAAATCCACTTTTGTCTAGAGTCCTCCCCTTTTAAGGCACGTGGCATTCTATTAATTCAAAAAATAGGATTCAAAAGTAGGTAGTTTTACTCCTAAACATCCTGAGAGTTACTTATTAGCTCAACGCATGTTTATTCATAGTCAATTAAATACAAATAGTGGAACCCATTAAAAGATTACCACAAACCCACTTTTGTCTAAAGTCCTCCCCTTTCAGGCACATGGCATCCTATTAATTCAAGAAATAGGATTCAAAAAGTGAGTAGTTTCACTACTAAACATTCTCAATGGATAAATATTTATTAGCTTAGCACATGCTTATCCATAGTCAATTAAATACAAATGGTGGGACCCATTAAAAGATTACAACAAACCCACTTTTGTCTAGAGTCCTCCCCTTTCAGACACGTGGCATCTTATTAATTCAAGAAATAGGATTCAAAAGTAGATTGTTTTACTCCTAAACATTCTCAATGAGAAGATATTTATTAGCTTAACATATGTTTATCCGTAATCAATTAAAAACAAATCACCAAATTGTGTTTCCTCTCCACTCCTAGGCTCAGCAAGTCGCAAAACCATTTCCTCTCTGCAAGTCGCAACACCATTCCCTCTCTCTGGTTAGAAAGAGCTTTTCTCTCAAGTTTCTCGAGGTTTTATCCATCTCTCTTTTGGGGTGGCTCTCTCAAGTTTCTCTTTTTGTTGTTTCTTTTCTTCCCTCCTCCTTTGCTTTCATTCTTCGTTTTTCCCCCCATCTGATTCTCTCCATTCTTCCCATTGTTCTTCCTCCCATCTATTTCCCTCACCTTTTCCATCTGGTTCTCTCCATTATTTGCCTCGTTTTGTGTTATTTTTTTTTCTTCTTTTTGTAGACGTTTTGACAAGGGAGTTACTTTCTCTTGGATCCTACATTGGGCTTTCGATACTAGTGGATGTTGCTTGACGTTTTGTTGTCCATGGTTAAGTCTGTTAACGGTTCTCCGGTAGATGCAATTCATGGTCAGTTCCGTTCGCAATTCTCTGGCAGATGCAATTCTAGAAGGCAATTACAATCTTTGGTAGTAGTTCTAATGTTTGGGCCTTTGCCGTTTTTTTGCGAATCTACCCCAACCATACTATTATCGGCTCTTTACTGTCTTTTGGGAACCTCTCCTGTCATTTCTCTCACCGTTTGTAGTGGATTGGAGTTGTGCTTATCTACTTCTGTTAGTGATTTTAAATTCACCTTTGTTTGATTGCATAAGTTCATTATGTTATCCTTCATCCATTTATATATTTTGTTCTCATTGAGAAATTGTATATGGGTTATGATTGGCCTTATTGGCAATTCTCTATAATTGTATCAATTTCTTGAATGAATGAAATATGCTTTAAAACTTCAAGAAAAATTAAAAACAAATGGTGGGACCCATTAAAAGATAACCACAAACCCACATTTGTTTTTAAATGAATTTTTTCAAAAAGAAAATCTTTTTTGTTACATTTCCAATGAACTTCCCTCTTTCAAAATGATTAATTAAATAGTTAGATGATTAAATAAATAGCAAACTATTTAAATAATCAAAAACATAAAATATTTATAATGTAAAAGATAATTAAATAGAAATTGCTAAAATAATAAATGCTGTGATAAATAATAATTAAAATGGATTTAAAGGGCAAAAGTTAATTCTATAATATAAAATAATTAAATATTAAAATGATTAAATAATAATAAATAATGTAGATCA